GTGTAACAATGTGACAACAGTTTCCGTATCTGTATAGCCGGTACCCACCCTTCGTGTATAACACACCAGTTTCAGTTTGTATATCCAATATATAACCACCATTCGGTGTAACACACCAGCTTCTGTATCTGTATAGCCGGTATAAGCACTCTTCGGTGTATCACACCAGTTTCTGTATCTGTATAGCCCGTATAATTAACGACCCTTCACTGTCACACACCAGCTTCTGTATCTGTATCTGTATATATAACCGCCCCTCGGTGTAACACACCAGCCTCTGCATCTGCACTGCACCTCTAGTTGTAACACACCAACTTCGCAGGCACGCGGCGCGGCGGCAGCTATTCATATTCCACTAAACAACCTGCTACGTTAACCTTTCCACGTCTAACCGCAAACGCTGTTTAAAACTACCATACTTACTGGCAACGAGTTCCACTCAAATAGGTCTAGAAAAGTACTGTGTAACAGGTTTTGAACACATCAATCTGGGTTGATACCTGGGGGCATGACACAGTCTAATAAATCGCCCATCCTGTGTTCTATTTCCTGCTCAGACGTCGCCTGAGAGACACATGCGGAGATGGCGACAGGTTCATCTTCTGAGTCAACATTACTCACGATCAACCCACGCTCCAACGGACATTCCAACCGCCAGCTCAACTGGCCAATCCGATTTCATCAATTCAAATTTAAATTCACAGACGTCAGTCTCTGAAAAGGGCAAGGCAAAAATTCTATCAAAGAGTAAAACGCCTATCTTCTTGTATTATTTCTATTTCTCTTTGAGACTTATAAGAAAAATGAATTGGGTTCATAAAAGCCATGACGGTAAAGTAGAATCCCTTGTTACTATGAGGAATTGACGGCATTGACAAAAATCCCTTTATGACGTCAAAGAGCAAAATAAGCACAATAGAAAAAAGATTACCAGTTGAATTTCAGAGAAACTGCACTCTGGAGATTGATGCTTTCGACGTAAAGCCTCTTGCAGCGTAGGGCTCATCGTAAACTTAATAGTTTTGCCTTCAGTAAGGGCAGGGCATGCTGTGGATGAAATTATTCTGCCATTTCCTAAGTCCCAAGGGCGCCACGCAAAATACTGTCACCAGTTATGAAATAAGTTCCACTTACAGTGTAATTGCTGCCTTGGGAAATCATGGTTGAACTTGGTCTTGAGCTGATCCAAATCACTGTGGATATCGAACCCTTTAAGCAGGACTACCGACCACCACACCAACTCGAGAGGGAAATATTCCTTGGATAAATTGAACAGGTGACATTCTGTGGGATTGAAATTAACGGCTTCGCTATCAGGTGTTCATTATAAAGTGATGGGACCTACAAAATTAGATTGGTCTTCGACGTATGATGTGAATTATTTGAGACAAAATAACTACCCTTCTGCATAGCACACCAGCTTTACAGGCAGCTAACTAAGGTTCACTTAATATATGTACGTCGTCGTCTAATAGCATGAAATAAGGACAGAATCTTGACAGTTATCAAAACTGAGTCCACATGATTGAAAACAGCTTTTACCTCGACTTCACGTCTAGCTTTGCAAGAAGAAACTCTCATAAGGAAATTCCTCACAGAATAGATCTTAAAACTTACAATCAATAGCTTCAGTGAGGGCGGCGACATGCTAGATATTGTCTGTGGAGTGAGAAAACAGGAGGTTGAACAACTCAAACTTTGACAACCCTCATACTTTTGACCAAATTTTCTCATGTATTCACCCGCCCTGTGCAGGAAAGACCTCAAAGAATAGCTTTACCAAGCATGGCAACATGATAGGTATTATCTATGGAGTGAGAAAACGGGATTGAACATGTCAAACTTTGACAACAGTCCTACTTTTGACCAAATTTTCTCATATATTTATCCTCTCTGTGCCAGAAATACCTACTTCGGAGAATAGATCTTAAGACTGACAATCAATAAGAGCGGCGACATGATAGATATTGTCTGTGGAGTGAAATATTGAGTCACACGTAAAATAAAACGCCGGGGTCTCCAGGTCGCGTGTAGCGGGGCGACAGAGCTGTAGATCCAGATAAACAAGATGAGCTCCTCAGGCTCAGCCTCAAAGCGCTCGTTTATCATAGAAAGGCGGCGTCGTAGCCAGATGAACATGGTTCCAGGATGTACCCTGCTGATAAAGCTGGTAACAGATCTGGCCTGGTATCAATTTTATTCTAGCTCCGTATCTGAATAGCCAAAACCATCATTTGTTGTACCACACCAACTTCTGTGTCTGTATATAGCCGGTATAAGCACAATTCGGTGTAACACACCAGCTTCTGTATCTAAGTGTATAGCTAGTATAATCGCCCTTAGACATAACACACCAGCTTCTGTAACTGAATAGCCTGTATAACCGCCCTCCGGCGTAACACACCAGCGTCTGTATCTGTACAGCAGGTGTAACCACCCTTCGGTTTAACACACCAGCTTCTGTATCTGTATAGCCAGTACAACCACCCTTCGGTGTAACACACCAGCTTTTGTATCCGTATAGCCGGTATAACCACCCTTCGGTGTAACACACCAGCTTTTGTATCCGTATAGCCAGTACAACCACCCTTCGGTGTAACACACCAGCTTTTGTATCCGTATAGCCGGTATAACCACCCTTCGGTATAACACACCAGCCTCTGTATCTTAGTTATAAAGTTTGAGCTTAGTTCCAACCCAAAAAGGGAGACAATGAGTTCCCTTTTTGTGTTGGAACTAAGCTCAAACTTTATAACTAAGATTTCTAAAAACAGAGATGTGCTTTTACTCAAATATCAGCTTCTGTATCTGTATAGCCGGTATGGCCACCATTCGTTGTAACACAGCAGCTTAATATGTATCTGTATAGCCGGTATAACCACCCTTCGGTGTATCACACCAGTTTCTGTATCTATATCTGTATAGCCCGTATATAATTAACGACCCTTCACTGTCACACACCAGTTTCTGTATCTGTTTGCTGGGAGTGCCACTAATAGTGTTAACTCGCCCAGTGTTAGGTGGGGATGATAATAATACATGGACATCTGGCGGATTTGCAGGTTACTGCATATTAGAAAGAGCATTTCCGCAGCCCCTATCTTGAAAAAAAAAACTTTTCAAGTTTACCACAACCAATGCACAGGTGGCACGGACAAAGAAAAGTTTGGCAACGCAAAAAAAGTACACAAAGGCCAAAACGCGCACAAACACAAATACACACAGACAAACGCACATACACACATATGAACTCAGCTCATACACACACACACAAAGACATAAAATGAAACCAAATGAAAACGTGACCTAAGTGATAAAAAATAAGAACAACTTTGTTGATATATTTCATGCATCCGACATTACTGATAAGTAACACTCATACTAGTAAGTAATACGTATGTACTATTGGCAAGGAATCTGTAGGGCACAAAACGTAAAACACAAAAAGTATGTACAAATAAAGATATACCCTTTGGTGTTACATTGCTAACACCTTCTTGGGAGGTAAAATTCTATACAGTAAAATAGTAAGGGTTTCACACAACATATTACACATGCAAAAATCCCGGCTATGTTGAAAGCTAGCAAATATTCTGTATTTTTCAACACCCCTTGAAAAACTTAATGAAAAGTTACTTTTTAAGAAACATATTATATATATTGTGCATTACCTTTTAAAGGTCTTTAGAAATTCTGTGTGATACAAGACTTACATACATTTTATTAAGTCAACACACACATGAAAACTATACTACACTATATTTGTTAAAATTGATATTACCCTGAAGCATAGGTGGATCTATACACATAAAGAAACTTACATATTTTTGTAAAACAAAAACAAAAGTTTCTGTCACATCCTTTTCAATATCAAAAGCAATATCTAATGATATTTTCTTGGTCACCCTCTTTATCTTTTTATGTATCAAGACATAATGATGTCTGTCTAAGTGCAAAAATCCCCTGATAATATTTACATACAATATCTAAGAATGGTTCTAGATTATTGTCCATGATCTCTAAAAATGATTGGACTCCTCTCATTTCTGTTTGCTTCTTGATGAAAACATGATTGTTGCTGTATAATAGTTTCCTTGGTTTATATCATTCAACCTCATCATCTGATTGTTCCTTTATGTTTTGATGTAAGACATATATTCTAATCATATTTCATGATTTTTCTATCCAAACACAAAACGATTACCACCAGATCAACACTTAGTAAGGGGAATGGACTTAAGAATCAGAAGTGGAGTGTATTATTCAGTGCGATATTTCCTTGATAAAACTATCGGTATTGGCAAGATAAAAATGCTAAATAGATTGGTCGGTTTGATTACATGTACTAATCTACTACCTGGTGCATGCGAAGCAAGTGTGTTGCTTCCAGGTACGTATAAGGTTTGTTTGGATGAGTTGTGAGTTTGTTAGTAGTCTCTACCAGACTAACTGCGCTACCAGACTACCAGACTAACTGCCTATATATGGGAAAATATTTGCAAGGGGAGTTTGGCCGCCTTGTAGGTTGACTGGCCGCGCAGGAGGGAAAGAAACTACCTCCCCGCGGCCTGACTCCCTTTGCCAATTTTACTCTTTTTTTTTTTGCAGAATTCTACGATTCGTATTCCCGTAGAAAGGCACCTGTGAAGGCTAGTGTATCTTTCTTAATTGCATAGTGGTTGGGAGGTGATTTAGACAGATGCTTTACAGGAAGGTCATAATTGAAGGTGACTCGCCGGAAGAGAGAGACTGGGTAGTATATGGAGGAATTCAGGAACTGTGGTAATATACGACATCATGCATTCCTCTCAACATCTTCGTTACATTCACAAAAACCCTAACCACCTCCCAGAGTTTTGTAAACTTGGACTTGGAGGTCTCGAAATCCTAAAATGCTTCCAGGAAGTCTGGAATCTCCGATTTCATATTGTATTTCTTATTACTTATATGTTTCTGACTACTGGTTACCACTTCGGAATTTCGCAAACCGTGAGGAATAGTGTTCTACCAGGGAGTTGGTTAGTATTAATCGCCAAGCAGATCTTTTGGGTTGCTACAAAGCAGTATCCCTCTGCGAAACGGAAGCCCAAACCACTGATTGGAGAGTAGGTTAGAATTAGAAGAGGGATAATGAAAAAAAGGAAGAGAGTGGAAATAAATGAAAAGAATTAGGTGCCAGCATATGGCCCGAGCAGCACAGCAGTAGCGACCAGTGCGATGAACATAAAAGTGCCGAGCAGAATCCTGTCGACGACGATGGCCAGCTGCTTCCATTCGTCGCTGCGGGCGTCGCGCGTGTCCTTCCGGTAATGACGGGCCACGATGGTCTTGAGGTGCGCGATCATGGAGTCCAACTTCCGGTCCAGCAGGAGGAAGATCCGGCCACTGTTGCTGGAGTCTTTGCTCAGGGGTTGGAGTTGGTTGTCGTTCGGCTCGGGGGTGGAGGAGATCTTGGGCGGCTTGACCGGGCCCAGGTCCAGGGCGGGGTTGACGTTCTCGTACACGGTCTTCAGATCCGGGTTCTCTGTGGTGCTGGCGGTCTTGTTGGACCTGCACCTGCGCATGTACAGAAGTGGACGGAGCCAGCTGGGGATCAGCTGGGGCATGGGGCCGTGGAAGTGCAGGTTCATGGCGATGACGGTCGCCGCAGAGCTCAGGGTCACCACCACGATACTTATCCCAAAGAATTGACCTGGAAAATTTCACAGAAAGTATTGAAACAAGTGGCATCTCTGTCCTTAAC